GATTTTCTTATCATCATCAGTATCAAGTATCAAAATTTGTATAGCGCCTCTCTTAAAAAGACCTCAGAAGCGTTTTCTATGATGCACAATGTTGAAGTAATGATGCTTTAACGCTATCTTGAAAAGCTGTGATGGAACCATCTTTTAACTGCAGAAGAAGCGAGTTCCACATCCCAGCCGCCACTACAGAAAATCTTCGTCGTCCAAAATTTGAGGAACGGATTGACGGAATGACTAAACCCCCACGGTCTGACGACCTAAGCTGACAATGTCCAGGTATCTTTGAAACCGACATCAATTGCTCACTCAAATAGACCGGTGCATCACCAGTCAAGCAGTCTCTGACCAAGAGAGCGAATTTGAACCTAATCCTTAGGGGATATCTCAACCAACGAAGCTCATCACACACGTAAACCGAAATGGAAGGAAACTTTGAAACGCCGGCTATCATTCTTGCAGCCGCGTTTAGTATTGATTGGACACGGTCCTGTGGAAATGAACTGGCTCCATACATTATCGAGTTGGAGAAGTCAACTCGACTACAGACAAAACTGTGAACAAGTGTTTTTGCTGACTCCAGAGTAAGAAAACGTCTGATAGACATCATCATCATCATCATCATCATCATCATCAACATCATCATCATCATCATTTTGAACAACAACAAAATCAACATCATCAACATCCTTAATCTTATCTTTATTATTGTCATATTATCGACGTCATCATTATTGTCATCATCATCTTTATCTTCATCGTCATCATCTGCGTTTGCATCATCATTATAATCATTGTATTGATGGCTATCGTCCTATTAGATAAGCATAAAACATCACGCAAAGTTAAATTCATTTGTTGGGCAAGAAGTAAAGATGAAAGTTATGACGATAAAAAAAAATGAAAAATTAAACACACGAAATTTCAATTCAGTCGCTGAAATTGTCTTGAAGATATGAAAAAAAATATTTGGGATTTACACAACTTCGATTTAAAAGCCAAACGAACACGAACTAGAAAATGACGATGACGTCAACAATGACGTCATGGAGAAACATCACCACGGTGACATATCTTACGTACAGCGATAAATTACATCACCATCACGCAACGCAGAATAGATTCAAAGATTAACTTGAAAAAAACCCCCGACACCATTACAGATAATTACAACAACAACAACTACTACTACTACAACAACAACAAAAAATAACAACAACAACAATAGCATCAATAAAGACGACGTCAACAATAACATAAATCACGGCGTTAACCAACAACAATCACAAATCCGGCAAGAGTAATGAAAATAAAAGCAACAACTATAACATAAACAACAACAACAACAACAATAACGACAACATCTACAACAACAATAATAACAACAACAACATCAACAACAACAACAAAAACAACACTCGTTTATTACTAATCTTTACTTCCGAGCGATCGAATTCAATGGCTAACACGACATCTCACAATAGAGAAACTTCACCTTTAACAATGTGCTTGAATATTCATGAATAAACAAATAAATAAAATAAAATTAATAAATGAATAATACAAATTTTATAAAAAAAATGGATGAATGAATGAATGAATGAATGAATGAATGAATGAATGAATGAATGATGAATGAATATACGAATGATCCACTGAATAAAGTAAATAAATAAACAACTGATTGACTGATGAATGAATGATTGAATGATTGATTAATTGACTGATGAATGATTGACTGATTGATTGATTGATTGAATGAATGAGTGAATTATTTAAAAATTGAATATATAAATTTATATACCTAAAATACAATTCTATTTATAGCAAGGCGTAAATTGTTAAGACTCGATGTTTTCAAAAAATTTTCAAATTAAATCCAAATTAAATTTTTTTCGTTTAAATTTTTTAAAATTTTGAAATAAAATTTTTGATAAATCTTTTTTATGTATTAATACTACTACGACTACTACTATTACCACTACTACTACTACTACTACTGCTACTACTGCTACTACCTACTACTAACTT